AACCTGGACACATGATAGTTTCTGCAGTCTGTCCCTCATAATATTAATGTGCCATGGCGTCCAAACAAAAAAAACCCAAAACATATATAGTAATGGTGCAAAAGTTCGTACAAACTTAAGTATCACAATAGTTTGCTTGTCAGATCGTCTTCGTAAACAGATGAGTGACACCGCTTCAAGCTGCAGCTGTTAATGCAAAGTTAACTACTGTTCCGCAGCTTTGCACGAATAGCACTGCACGGTGCACCTAACAGGCCTCCCTTCAAACAAAAGCATGCCGATGACGCTTCTTGCACTTTAGTACTCCAATGCCACAGCAGCCAGTCAGCTCCAGCTATCGCACTTTTGCATACTGCGTGTCAAATTAACGGCAAAAGTTACGTTACTGCAGCGGGGTCGACTCGCTCTGAACGACTCTGTAACTGGGTCAAGGAATGGAAAAACAACAACAACAACTCTCAAGCTTTAATAAAGTTTTAAAAGATAAATAAAAAAAGAGCAGGCAGCTATCAGAGACACACGGCTTACCTGCCGGAGGGTGGCCAGCTTTCAGCCGAGCAGCCTCCTTCGCTCCAGATTTGGGGAGTTGTTGCACCATTTCTTAAAAACTTTCCGCAGTGAAAGCACCAAACTGTCCTCGACGCCCACTCCGCTGTTTTTATTCTCTACAACAGAGATGACGTCCCGCGAGGCTACAGGAAGTTTGCGGCCAGCGAAACGCCTCTTTGTTTTCTTTTTTTTTTCACCTTTTCTTTTTCTCTACCCGCTGATAGTTTACCGAGAAAATGAAACTGTACACTAACCGTTTGCGGTTTGCAGCACGATTCAACTGCAGCTGATTTATGTTACTGTTACTTGATCTTATTTTGAAAATCTTTTCACAAAACTTCAAGATTGGCAACAAAAAGAGTTTTAACCACACTTAAACTATTTCCAGGTATGGCAGCCCACAGACACAAACCCCCAGAGGAAGTTTTCGATTGCACGAATATTTTCAGTGAAGAAGAAAATAACACTGTGTCATTTTAAGGCAGATATTTTTTCATCGCATTAGACTCTTTTATCCAGCATGAGGATCCAAAGTAAACAGCGATAGTGCCACCATGTTTAAAGCTGAAGCACAGAAAGGACTGTCAGATCTTTGCATGTGTATCTAACTGAGGTCAGTTGTGGAGGGGAGATGAGACTTGAAAGTTTATTGTTGACACACTAATGTTTCTTTATGTTTAATGGAGAAGGTAAGACTGACTAGAGGTAAGGTGTGTCATCCCAACAAGAAAGTAAAGTAAGAAAGTATACTTGATTGGATATTAAATACACATGTTAGAGCACATAGTTACCTGCACAGTGTTTTGAGCTGAGCCGTTGTCCATTGTAATGTCTGCTGTGATACACGTCACATGTTACAGGTAATACAGATCAGTCTATTCATAACCTGAATGATCTGTGCCTTTAATGTCAGGTTCTTCGAATCTGTGACTTTGCTAAGTTCTGTGACTGTACAGCAGTTTCCTTGAATATACAGGTTTGAAGCTTCACAGCTTGCATATGCATGAACTATGGGGGCATTAATGCTGGAAAATGCGTGTGTTGTTGCCTTCCCGGGTATGCACAAGCTGCAGGCTAACTGTCAGCTGGCTTGTGTTAATTTAACTGAAATGTTGGTAATGTGCAGCACAGTGCCAAGCTGCTTGAAACGCGTGGGCCTTAAGGTGGACCAGCTTTATTTTGTTCTGAAAGAAAAAAAAAAAGTTCGAGACTTCATTATTTTTTTCAGTTTTAGTATATCTTCTTTCTTATATTTTGTGCATAGAAAAGGGTGCCCTAACACATTCTTACCAATTACAAGGAGACTGTTTTTTGCAGTTCTGCTGCAGGTTTTATTTTTTGCCATCTAAATATAACAAAGGTTGCTGCTGTGTTGGTTAATGTAAGTTATATTTATAGCTGTTGTTTTGTTTCTTAACTCCTACCTTTATTCTGTGTGCCAAAAGGCTCCAGAAGAAGGAAAAGCTGCTGATGTGCTTAGTTTCCTTTTCCTGTTTGTGCAGTTGGCAAGCTGCAGTTTATTGTATTTTAACTTGAATCTTCTTTAGTTTTAGTTTAATTTGAACGGTGGCTGCGCTTTTGGTCGGGTCTGGCTTTTTCTTCCTTTCTTGACAGTATTTTTTTTCTCGTTTGTGCTCAAAGTGGTTTTTTGGTGCATAAAATAAAGTCTAAATACTAAGAAATGAACAAAAAAAAACCCCTCACAGGCACAACTGGAAAAACATAATTCTTCCTCACCCCAGCTGAACCCCATCGCAGTTATAGTATTACTGTACCTTTTAGTTATCAGAACCTTCACCGTAGATGAAACAAGGAAAACAATAAAGTAGATCATATCGAGAAGTACAAAACCAACAAAATCAGTTCCAATAGTTAAGTATACAACATACCAAGAATAAAATGCATGTACTATGTAGTGCAAAATTGCAGTATCAATGCATTCATTCTTAAAAAATAATTGTCATATAGCATCACATTTCTTAGCACACTTTCTTGCATAAAGCAAACTTTCTTTAAATAATGTATAAGTGTATTAAAAAAGACTGGAGGTAAATTTTCCTTTTGTTTAGGAAGTCATTTAGCTAAACTCATATTTAATTTGCCTGGCAGATAGCATGTAGGCGCTATCTTGAGGGAGGTCTCTCATTACTGCACTTAATAGTTTTGTGGATATTTCTGCAGTGTATGAAACTTAAATATTGTTTTAGACTAATGTAAAGATCTGCCTCGTTTGTTGGCTGATGATGTGACTTGTCACTTATGGGTTCAACATGTAGTCCTAAACCTATTTAGCCTCCTAAGCAGTGTATGCTATATAGCTAGTTCTCTAAACTTAAGCTGGTTCTTCAAGTCTTCCTCCCAGTCAGAAGATCCAAAATGAGTTTAAAAAGGAATAAAGTATCCCGAGAGACCCGAGATTAAGTTTCCGAGTGGAATTCAAAAGAGAGTTTAGGGAAAATAGTGCTTTAGCATTACTCCATCAATCGATATGAAAGTGTGATGAGGTTGTTGGGGTTTTTTTTGCAGCACATCAGACTCTGGATCTGCATTTATTGTTATAAAAAGCTGACTTCTTAATTAGATATAGATCAATATAGATCAAGACTGAGTGAAAAGTGTTCATATGAACTGTATTCAGATCTTTAAATAATGCTTCACAATGATATTTGGACCTGTTTATAGGCTGAGATCGGGTGGGGAGTTTAAGCAGATCAGATTAGTTCTCCATCTCTAGGGGCTGTGCCATGAAATCCCTGTCAATAATGCTCATATAACATTAGCAGCTTTAAAAAGAAAAAAAAAAGGCCTTAAAGTTATGGGAGACAGTCCTGGCTCATAGCTGTGCTCTTACATGCATTTAAAAGCAGATTGCACATTGACTTCACCTGTATTTATTCTTCCTCCTGATAAATTCAGTAAGCTCTAACATTCTGAATTTTGTTTCAGAAGAAACTGCAGTGAGGGGAAAATTGGGTGTATGAAGTCATATGTGACCCAGATTGTTAAGTACTTTAATTTGCGTGCACTTACTTTGAGGGGTAATGAATTAAATGAAATCAGGGGCTGGGATAATCTCACTGCTTTGTAAATTAAGTCCATTTCGCAATATTTTGGCAAAGCAGTTTAGCAGACTAAGGCTCCTGGGACTACGCCGGGAAAACTGGATGCAAGTGTCTTTTGTAGGCCGAAGCCAATTAATGGTCGGTATAAACGTATGTATTCCCTTAATGCCAGCTTTACTATAAGCAGCACAGTCCATAGAGTTACAACTACTTAAGCAAGAAAAAGGCCCGTCTCATGTGGAAGTGTAGCTGGTTTCTGAAAGTGGAGGCTGGTGGAGAAGAGGAATACGAGTAAAAATCAAATTCTTTGATGATCTGAAAAAGAGAGATAACCCCATCCAACCCATCAAATACCTTCTGGGCATGAAACAACATTAATTATGAGATCTAAAGGATTTTAAATTGCTTTTGTATGCAAATAAAAAAAAAAAAAGATGAATATAGATGAACTTGAACATCTTAGTTTGTCTACAAGTATATAAAGCTGTTCAGTCTGGTGATTATAACACGCTGTGTTGGTGTTCTTTTAAAAAACTTTAAGTTTACCAAACTTTCAGCAGTGTGTTTATTCAAATCATTTTAGGCCTAAAGAGCAACTGTATTTCATCTTTTAAGTAGTACTGGCCCCGATCCACAGGAAATTGAACCCTGTCAGTATTCCAGCTCCATATTTTTTTAATTATTATTGACCCATTATTGAGTCACAATTCAAAAACAATTTTTGCTGATCTCATATTGAGGCTCGGTGCCTTGGAAAATTTTATTTACATCAAGTTAACAAGAGACGATTAGTTTATCCCAATCCATTTTTTTCAAATAGTGTACGTATATTGGATGGGAAGGAGTACATGTCTCTAATATTGTCAGGTTTTTACTTATATTTTACATTGATACATGGCCCACAGTAGCATATTTTAATTTCCTGACACAGTGAATAACTGCTGCTATCCTTCTGTCACAAATCATCCCTGACCCTCGTCACCATTTTGCAGAGTTTGTAGCGTGACAGAAAATCATCCTGGAATCTTTCATCTTAAATACATTTGCACCACACGTCGCTCATATTCAGCATCGATATTTGAAAAACATTTTAAAACAAGGTTTTTTTCTCCGTCCCAAGAGCACGGTTTGTCAGTCGAGGTGTAAGCGTAGAGTCCGCTACCGATCAGTGTTGGTTGCTGTGCTCCAGGGTGCCACACGGCCTTTATAAAACACAGGTGGTTTAAGGCTCACTACTCATGTCTGTGCAAATACATAAAATATGCTTCCCAGGCAGGATAGAGGATATTACAACCAGAGCAGAAAGGGTTTGATCTATTCATTCACTCTCTTTGCACACGTGGACAAAATGTCAGTAAACTGGAGATGCAAAGAAACTCTCTCACACAGTTTAAAAAACAAAACTTGACCTTTTATTACGTTGTCGTTGTTGTGTTATGATGCCATCTTTGTCCACATATTTCTTTGTATATTTATATATCTTTAAAGACCTAACATGGCACAAGTTTCTTTTAGTTTTTTTGTTTTTTCCAACCAGTGCTGTTGAGTGTAAACCAGGTAACATGTTTTTTTTCTGTATTTACAATAAAACGAAAAATGTACAAGACTCCATGGCATTACACAGGTTCAACATTAAGTACAGATATAATTTGATCCCTCTGTACAAGCTAACATCATTAGTTAACTATTTTTCATTTGATTATTTTTTATTTTATGTTTTTTTTTTTGATTCATTTTTTAAACAGATATGAGTTCATGATCCATTTTGGCTTCGGCACATACATATTCCTCCAGTCTCGACTCTTACCGCGGACCTTCGTTTACATGACTCACACCTTTCACCATGCTATCACAGCTAAGAGTTTCGAAAAGAAAAATTAACCTAACATCTAGACAGAGTAGGACGCATGTCTCCTCACTGTAGTGTCCCAATATCTGCTCTCAACAGACTCACAGCATGATTCCATCTTTCTCATCTAAATAAAAAATAATTAGAAAAAAAAAGACATTCCTTGATTTCCTTCTTTGGCTCACATCCCATCTTTCCATCTGTTATCACTCAGTTGAACTCTCCTCCATACACACACATCCACAAAACAAACATGTATGAAGCCAAGTTCATGAAAAAAAATAAGTTTGTCATTTCCTGTGTGTTCCTCGCCTCTGCTGCAGGGTGAAGACGCACCCCAGTTACAAACCAAAGTGACGGTGAAACGGTAGCACCTCCAGACCTATACCCAGGAGTCTGGAGAGCCGGGGTACTGCTCTGCCCTGAACGAAGGCGTCCGTGTGGTAGCGTAATAGTCCACGTAGTTACAGGTGGATTTCAGTCCATGAGGCTGAGAGCTGAAGGTGGGAGGGTAAGTGATGACCTCCTCCAAATACGAGTCGTCGTAGCCGTGTGGGTGCTGCAGGTACATTCTGTATGTATCGTAGTTTCTCCTGCTCGGCTCATCTGAATAATACAGAGGCTGCAAGGAACGAGAGGCAAGTATCAAGAGTCAGTTCGGAAAACTTGAGTTTTACAACAGTCGTTACGTTAAAGATTCAAACTGAAACTCAAAAGAAAATAAAGGTAGCAAATTAAGCCTTTGCTGTCCCCTTTCCCCTGCCAGCATGCAAAGTAAATTAAATTAGCTCCACTTTAGCCAATTACATCCCAACGCTTTGTGAAATGCAATGCATAATTATTATTAAAATGTCCAATCATTTCACATGCAACATTTACAGGAGGTCATTTCTCTGCGCCACACGTTTTCAAAAATCCTTTAACCTTTACTTAATTAGGCAGTTTTCACTGATGTTTGCAGCCTTGGCCGTGCAGCACTTATTTCAAAGTATTATTCAGATTTCATTCTAAGTTTTAATGATAGTTCTCGTGTAGCTTAATTTCAGTAAACAAACTTTATTTATCTTCATATTGTACTGCTGCTTATACTTTCAGGAACACTTACACCTCACTATAAATAACCACACTACACGGTAACATTTTGGGAAAATCTTAATTGCAAATCTCCACCTAGATGATTAGAAATCCACCTACAAGCACCTCTAAACATTAGCTTCTCAGCTTTAAAGAGTAAACTGACAATTTAAACAAAATGTTGAGCACAGTGGATCAGAAGACGCTGCCCGGAGACAAAACTGCAAACTGGTGTTACACTGATTCATGTCCTCAGTAGAGGATCGCAACAATGTCAGCGCAAGACATATATAGGTACGTGTACTTATCCTTTTCCTTGACTTACTGTAATGTCTATGTAAACTATGTTGTTAAAGAGTTTTTACTTTTATTTGAGGCGAAAAAATATGTATATGTATATTTGAGTGTTGAAAATAAAGTAAAGGCTCTGTCCCCATTTGTTTATACACTCACTGACCTTTGGTACTAAGGGATCTAAAGGGTACAAAGAAAATATGCCCCAACACCATTACACCACCAGCAGCTGTCCAATTTTTGTGAGCGTGTGCAAATTACAGCCTCTGTTTCCTCTTCTTAGCTGCGTCGCCTTCCTTCCCCATTCGGATTCATCTTGACCTCACCTACAAGCCCACAAGCCTAAATGCACTGAGTTGTTGCCATGTGATTGGCTGATTAGCCGTTTGTGTTAACAAGGAGTTTTATAGGTGCACCTAATCAAGCGGACAGCGACTGTCAAAACAACAGCTCAGGGGCAGACTTTCTTCTAGAAACCTCAGCAAGAGAGAAAAAAAGTTAACTATGCCTTTAAGCACATAACTCTTGTTCGTCCTGTCAAAACACAAAAAATATCTCAAATCAATCTTCTGTATGGTGGTAACAAAATGAAACGGCATAAACAAACATCTCAGCAGATTCAGGACAAACGCTTGTTAGTGTGGCTGGAGATTTTTCAGACAATAGGCTAATCAATTATCTTCTCGCCTGCACGTCTCTGGCCACTAATGCAACAAAAACAGCTTCAAGGTAAATGTTAGAAATCCAACAAAATGGATGGGATTTATAAATGTCTGAAATGAATAATGACCGTCTTTAGCCAGAAATGTGAAGCAATGAAGGACATAAGAGAACTCTGTCTTTGTGCAGCATCTCCTCCCTCCTGCCTCCTCCTCTCCGTGCCTGTTATCTGAATGGGCACACATGGATGTGTCCAACAGAGACAAGTGCCTGAGACGTACCCAGACCATCCCAATCCCAGCAGTCACATTCAATCTCACTCAAACAATAGCTGATGTGCTGGGTCATTCGCAGCATTGTCATTCATCCGGGGTGGAATACGTGTCAGTCTCTTTGTATTAGTCAAGCGGGTTAGAAGGGTTGGTCGTGCTTATACAGTGCAGCGGAGGGATCTCAGACATGTGCCTTGTGCCAGCTTATATCACCAAACACTACGATAAATATGAATTCTTAAGGCTAGTATCATATTTTTTTATTTTTTAGTTTGATTAATTAATCATTTGTTGTGTACATTGCAATATTATGTACTGTAAACTACTCTATCACACTGAAAAAAAAACCCCAAACACTACAAAAATAACAGTAGAAATAGTCTGCACAAATAAACAAAGCTAACAGGCAAACAGAGAAATAAACAATCTCTGCATATACACAGCAAAACAACCTCTACCTCTGCACAGCCACATCAGAGCAGGCATACGAGACAAGATGAGAAGGGGAGGCTGTGGAGTGTAACCAGACATTTGTGCAGAATTACTGCATTCACCTGTGTTCTTCGGGGCTCCTCTGTTGTGGGTGATGAGTAGTAATACGGAGACGGCTTTCCAGACCCTGGAAAAAATAAATAAATAAAGTGAGTGTTGCCTTAGATGGATTAGTGGAACTTAATGCCAACACACTTCATATCAGTGAAAAAAGTCAGCACATCCCTGAAGGGCAAATGTCTGTATTTTGATAGTAGAGGATCAAGAAGTGGTGCGCTACGCTGGAGAGAAATAACACCAAATAATAGACTTGGCCACTGCTGTTCTGTTGTTTATACAGCCCATGGGATGGGTATTTCCACTGGCACTTTATCCAACGGGTGGAATCCAGAAACTCAATTTCCACTTCCCTATGTAATAGATGAATTTTTGAGGCTGCAGGCTCATTTTGTTTACTCTGGCCTCCCCCCTGTTCTCAGCAACCAGAGTAGGCTGGTGAGAGCTCTTGTCTGACTGTAGTATGTCTGGGTACCCACTCACTGGCCCTGTCTGCAAGCTGTGACCTGGTGATGCTAACAATGGCACCACTGTGGAGTGTCCACTCCTGGCTGGTTGGTCCACTTTAGTGCTGTGCAGACCAACTGCAGCACAAAAACAGCCCTGAAGCGGTCGGAATTCAACTGACTGTGATGGGGCTGGCAGGGGTTGGTGGAAATGATAAGAGAGGACCGTCTTGGCAACGAGAGGAAACTGGCCACAGAATCCGCTTGGAGCGTTACGAAGGATAAAACAGATAACGCCCCGAATAGCAGCAAGTGTGTAACAGCACGCAGTCTGGTGCAGATGGTGAGTGTGAGCCAAATTTAATTTTTAAGGAGTGTAACCCCGAGTGGCTTTCAGGTGTGTACCTGTATACTGTTTTTTATGAATACTGTTGTCTCCTTGGTAATTAGAAAATTGCATAGTTGACTGTGCTCTCTGATAATCTCTGATGGTGTCTCTATGCTCTCTGATGCCCAGCAGTGCAGGAGACGACGTGGCGCTGGCAGCTGCAAGGAAAAAAAGAAAACACGTTTCGTAACATTAAATTCCAGAGGTTTTCCGGTCTCACAGGCAGTGTCTATTTCGACTGGGCACAGAATAGAGTGAACTGAATGTACCAGGGTGGTTGACTGGAGACATCTGAACGTTGCTGGTGGGGAGGGTGGGCTGGGACTTGAACCGGTCTCGCTCAAGTGTGGACACTGGTGTGAGGAAATGGTTTTGATTCCATCCATCCTGTTAGGGTAGTGGGAAGAGGAAAACATTGATCCTCTGGATAAATATGCTGGATGTATCAAAAAGAACCATCTGATTTCAAAAGGATAGATATTTTTTAAAGCACATACGATACTCAAACTCATCCCATACTTTTGCAAGCATGTCAGGCTATTGTTACACTACCTGTCAGCAACCATGTGAAAGCCACAGATCCCTCTCTTCTTTCTACCTGTACATGTTTCAGTCATGACCAGTGAACGGCTTCAGAATTAAAACACTTTAAAATCAGATAATTCTTTTTGATATGCCGTGTATTTTTCACAGACATTAAACCGGACACCAGAAAGGACCAAACTCAATGTCATTACCTTTTTATAGATGGCACGTAGATCTCTGTACTGCCACAGTGTGTTCAGCACCTGAGCAGCTGCTTTAACCACCTTCATAGAGTACCTGGAGAAACAGTCAAAAGCCCAAATGTTTTAGGGTATTCCTGAATGCCTTTAGCCTTACTTTAAAAACACACTGTAAATATTACAGGACATGATGTTTGAGGAAAGAGTTTGTCCTCCGTGTGTTTTACCCTGGAACATTACTGAATATATAGCAGGCTAGAAATAGCTGCTGTGCCATCATTCCACAGGGACATAAAACCTCAATGCATACAATGCCACCTTCCCTGTGGCTAAAACTTCTCCTTCTCCAAGCATCAAAGTGTTACTTAGGTGTGTGTGTGTGTTTGTATAAAACTCCAGCTGGTCAGTGCCCAAAACAGCCTTTTATCCCCATCCACGACTCTGGTGGGGTTTTTTCACCGTGTGCACAAGTTACAGTCGGGTGTGTATCACTGAGAAAAAAAACAACAAACTCTCAGACAAATACGAGCTTCTGTAGCGCACCTGTCTCCTCTGCCCTTGGTTATGTTGACCAGCTTCTCGATGCCGCCCGTGTCAGCGAGAGCCTTTGCATTCTCCATGTTTTTGCTGGTGACCTCGTGCAGGGTGCAACAGATGGCTGCCACGGTCTCGTCTGACAGCAGGGTGGTGTTCCCCCCAGGGAGACGGTTGACCAGGTCCCTCATCGCGTACTTCCCTAAGAGCGAGGAGGGGAGGTGAGACGTGCAGGAAATACACTGTGACACACTTACTGTACAGCATGTTTGTAGGCAGATGCTTATGCACGGAGAAGGGAGGGGAGTACCACTCATACAAGTTTGGTTTTTTCCCCCCCCCCCTCTATGTTACATAATGTAAAGGTCTTCCACTGTGACCTAAACTACACCGTGGAGCTTCTATAATCGGGCTGATATTCATTTTGCTTAGCCTGCAGTGTTGTACAAAGTTATCCTAAATGACACTGCATCAACGCAAGGACACTGGCGTGTGTGCATCCTACTGTAAAACAGCAGCAGCCTGGTGGTAAGAAAACCAAAAGAAAAAGAAAAAAAAAAACCCTGCAGCATAAACTCACAACCACAAAACTGAAGGCACCTTAAATCAGAACCAACCCCCACCCCACCCTTCCTGCTACAGGCATCGCCCCTGCTTTGTTGGAACTGTAACTCCTCATTAACTCCACAGAGAGCACATAAAAGCTTGGTTTTTTTCCATTAAATGAGAATGTTTCATGAAAAACAAAAGGCTAGAGGGAGATTAAAAAAAAATAATAACCAATAGTTAAAATTGTCACAAAAGGCCCTTGTTCTGTAGTTGCCATTAATTAAAAAAAACAAACTGAACTAACAAAAAACCCCCACTGTTTAACAATTTGTTAAACAATTTGTTGGTTTGCACACTGTATAAATCACAGAGCCAGCTTAGATGGAAAATGTTTAAAATATTAATAAGTAGTGTCGTGTAGAGTCACGTTATTCAGCTAATTTCCTAAAGATCATCTATATAATATCTATGTACCTCCTTAAATAACAGAAAATAATGTGCTTGTAACATCCACACTTTAGGTGGGTGTTTTATTCTGAGTAAGGGCATGTATCCAAGCTAAATGCTTTAACAACATAGCCTCTGCCTAATTGGTACAACATGAGCAGAGGCTGGACTGTTAAATATGCTGAATCCGATAGGGAAAACAATAAGGCGGCTTTATATTTGTGTTTAATATTATTCATCCAGACAGAGTCATTATGGTGTATAGTGTAAAATGTGTGACAGTGTGACTCCTGACCTATGAGCTCCTTGTTCCTGACATCCAGTGCCATGTTTCTCAGAGCAGTGGCAACTGAACACACCACCCTGTCGTTATCCATCCGAAGCAGCTCCACCAGGATGGGCAGTCCTTTCTCCTTTCGCACTGCTGCACGGATGTATGCTGCAAACTGTGCACACAGAAAGCAGTGAAACTTGAGAAGGGTCCACACCCTACTCAGGAAAATGTCTGGTTTTAAGATGTGTGTTTTAGCACGTGTGAGTTCCAGAATTAAACTGGTGTCAGCTTTGATCGATGCAGACGTGCTGAGCTGTTAAGTTAAGTGATCAGTGAGTGTATATAAAGTGAATATAGGTACTTTACCTTCCAGTTGCCAGCTGACAGGTTCTGAAGAGACCCGGCGGCTCCCTCCAGAGTTGCAGGATTGGAACTCTCAGCCAACAGAGTCAAGTAAGGCTTAACCACCGAAGGATGCCAAAGCATTTCTGCACCCTTGGGAGACTTGGAGAAGCCAGGGATGGGCCCCACACCGTCCCACTGAATCAGAATATAAGTGTTTGTCAGGCTGTGGTATATAATGACATTATTGCAACTTTTCTGTGTGGTCTTCACTCATTTTCCAGTATACCATACATGATAATAGAAATATTTTGCTATTTTAAAGATACAGTCCCACACTCACTGTGTCTTCCTGAAGGCTGTTTTTCTTCTTCTTTTTCTTTCTGCCCCAACAGCTGGAATCCACCTCTTTACTGGGAGATTCTCTGGCCAGTAAGCCATCCACTTCCTGCCCCTCTATCAGTCTGGGTGCTGTCATCTCCAGCTCCAGACGATATGACAGGTTCCTTAGAGTGCAAATACAATTCTCCACAATCTGGCAGGTACAAGAAGAAAGGCAGTGGAACGGGTAGTTATAGTAGAGGCTCTTTTAATCACCATGACAAAGGCTACAACTCTGTGCAGCATGCTACAGTATCTGCAGCCAGTGTGTGGGACATGCACCTTCTATTTGCAGTAATACAATGATATCAATTAGATTTGGAACTCAAGGCAGACAAAATTCGTCAACCAGAGCACACAAATTTATTTTCACGCTGTTTGAGTTTTGTAATGGGTTTGCCTTACACAATGACAATGAGCATGAATGACTGACACGGTTAAGGGTCGAGTTCGCAGAGTGCTGATCTTCACATTAGACATGGTCCACTTGACTTTTTATGGCTTTACAATTCACAGATGAATGAGCTTTTGCAATACCCAGTTGTATAAAAAAGGTTAAGGATATATAATGGCCATTCCAGCTCTATCTTTAATTCTTGAACACTCAGCATAACCCTTATTCATCTATACTGGGCCTTGGTGCGGCCCCTCAATTCCACCTCTGTCTGAAACAAGTCATTCTGCCTCCTCTTGCTTTCATGCCTCCCTCGCTTATAGCCAACTTTTCTCTGACTGTCTTTCCCTCACATACAGTACAGACAGCCAGGACTCTGTCTCCCATTAAGTACATCTGCTCTTTATGACATCAAAGAGATCCAAGACTTGAAAAAGAGTGTGAAACAGAACATTTAAAGCATTCTGAAGCCTAAGCTTATGTGGTTCTAACTATGGCCATTAGTAATATGAGCAACCACTGTTGCAGCCCGGTCAATCAGAATGCAAAAATATGAGTTGTGCTTGGGATGACAAAGCACATGAAACAGTTGCTTCTGGCAGCTGAGGGTCATTTAGGCACAAGGAAACAAATGATTCAATCAGGATGAGTAGGATTCTTCCCTCTTATCATGTGGCAGCATGTTCCCCTCTTGGCTAAATGTATTTGTGTGTGTGTGTGTGTGCATCAGTGGATGGGTGTCTTTGTGCGTACCTTGCTGTCGAAGTCAGAGGTGTTTACACAGGCTTTGATGACATAGAGCAGTGAGTCAATCAGGCCCTCACAAGTGCGCATCTGTTTCCTGGCCTCCTCACCAGCTGAACTCAGGTTCCTTTGAAAACCACACACACACACACACACACACACACACACACCATTTGATTTGGGGCTGCGCTCAACAAACAGATGAGCATATGCAAACACACAAAATGACAGCTGTGCACATGTGTGTGTGTGTGTGTCTCCCACTCGAATGTGTGATGTGGGCTTTGCAATCCCCATACACCATCCATAATGTATGAGAGGTGTGCATGTGTGTGGTCTGACTAAAGAAATTACAGTACTTTGCTGAGTAAGTATAGACCCAACGACCACACCTATGCATGTTTGAGTGCAGTGTTACACAAACAATCACCTCAACTAGCTGGCACCAATTAGAAGCTGTGCTCTACACACCGCACTGTTCTCAAAGGAAGAAGCCCCAGGAGAGAGGTTGTGAGTTTTCCAATAGTTTTGACTGTGATATTCAAAGAAATGGTGACGGCTTTAAAACATCAACAAGACAGAAAAATGTACCCATTTCACTAAATCGTGTTTAATCATTAAACCCATATTTATGAAAAAATGCACATCATCCTGATAATGTTCGCTAAATAAAAAGTGATTTACGAGCATATCTACAAATTTTTTATTTTTAGATTTGAGGCGGGTCACTTTATTATCATATTTTCTTCAAACGCACGCTATGAGCTCATCAGTCATTACATGCAATAGCATCAGATGTCCACAGTGGGGAGCTAGTGCCAAGTGTGATCATCAGGTGGTTTACCTCAGGCAGCCTGTGGTGTTCCTCAGCACCAGAGAGGAGTGAAACTTCAGCTTGTGCTCGTCATCGAAGGTGGAGCTGCTCCATCCAGAGTGAGGGATGATCACAGTGTTAGTCAGAGTTGTTAAGGCGTCCCGGATGATTGTCATCTTGACGGCGTCACACGACGACAGGTTCCACAGCACTCCTGAGGACATAGCCACATGCAAACACAAGCATTGAGAAGCAGGCGTGCAAACCTTCTGTTAAGTCAGCTGAGCTGTCATGTGCACTTAGGTTAACCTAGAGGGGGGCTTTTAGTTCAGTGTGTTGCGGACGTGTCCGACAACATGCAAACCGAGAACCTGAGTAAAGATATGACTATACCACGGCTCGAACATCAAGGCATCAGATATTCAAGTCAACTTTCATCTCTGCAGACTATCCTTGCGGCAAAGATTATTTGTTTGAAATGAAAAATATAGTAAGAAGGATGGGTGGGGATCCATATGGCATCAGCTCAGTCATTTCAATTGAAATATAAATAATGTAGAAGTCTTTAGAAATTATGCCATCATTTCACTCAATTCAAACATACTTTTGGTAACCACTGATAATCACGCACAGTCGTGGCAGCTTTTGATACTGCATCTGTCATGGATTAGCCGGCATGTAACATGTTCTTCTAATTAGGTGACTCTTGCTGCTAGGCTTACACTAAGACACAGCCCGACTGCTGTAGGGCATTGGTAGCCCTGCAGGAGACAAATGTTACACAAGCTGAATTCTACAGTAAACACTCAGGGCTGAATACATGTGTAATGTTCAAAATGCAGCCAAAACAATGCTTCAAGTACAGTGTGCATGTGTGTTAGTGGTTCATGTGTGAGTGCTTAATGCTTCATGTTAATGAATCCATTTGCTGTTGTTGCTCTACCACTTGCTCACCTCAGTCTGTGCATTCAGAACACATCACATGATCAACAGACCAATGAAGCTATTACATGGAACTCCGTAATATACATGCACACTACTGGGAGAGGTAAAACAAATAATGACAGGTCTTCCTGGCTACTTTTCTCTCAACCTCACTGTTTATCTTCTTTCAGTAAGCTGCCTCTCCGTCCTGCTCTGATTGAAGCAATGGAGACGATAATACTCTGTAATATGGCCCAAGAGCCCGATTGAGGCAGACTGCTGGCAAGAAGCTTTACAGACAGATATATGCCTGCCAAGACGGCAAGGTCTCTGCCACTGCCAGTCATTTAATCAACAATTTCTCTTACCATTATCCTTATTAACACTAAATCAAAGTGCTTTCAAACCCATTAAAGTCCTTTAGTGAACTTTCATTACTTTCCTTTTATTATGCTAAAATAACAGGGAGGCACTGAAAATCATGTGATACGCAACTTAGAAAGTTAACATGCAGCACGTGCTTCTTACTGGAGCCTGGCAGCAGTGTGTGTCTGTGTGTGTGTAAGAGTCATTTTGTGCATGCCAAAAGCTTTGTGTCAGGTGGACTAGTAGACTCTGCTCAACTTGACTCAGTGGGACTCAGTTTAATTCTGCACTAACTGACCTTTGCTCCTTCCACCAGCACATTCAGTTCTGTGTTTGCCTTTCTCACGGGACACGCACAGACTGCCTTGTAATAGGACCAATAATGCAGTGATAAGACACTCATGTCCACTGACCAACCTCCCTGCTTCTTCTTCTGACTCCACAATTCACTCTTTCTGCCTCTGGCAAGTTCCTAAACAGCCACTGAATGTCAATTTGTAGGAAGAATGTTCTCAGCTGGATTTTAGACTGATCCTGTGGAGGCAGCATGTCGGGAGAAATCAACAGGAGAATTCACTGAGGTGTGACTGACAACCCTGTCAGTGGTGCAACACCAGCAGCAATACCCATAAGTTACACCTGACAGTCAGACGGAACAGATGTATGCTTGTAGGCACCGACGTCAACCTTGTTCCCTACTCAGTGGCTTGTTCTCCAGTGCCTTGGCCTGCGTTTGAAACGCTGACCCAAGGTAAACATTGTTGTGAATTGTGAGAGCGCAGGAGGACACAGGGAAACGCATGGAGAAAAAAAAAACACCAAAATAATAAATAAATAATCTGAAGGTGGTTAGAACAGCTAAGGAAGTTAAATGGACATATCTTTTGCCCTGAAGTAGCTCAGCTGTAACGCATTCTGGGTTTTTAACACAAACAGAGTAAACGTCTAAAGATCACAGATAAAGAACTAAATGGCCACAAGGGATTGCATTGGCACAGTGACTCAGAACTGCAATGATTATTGGGTGTATATGGCTGACAGTTGCCTGCAGAGTTCAGAGTAAGTCTGGCACCACTTCCCCTCATCAGCAGCCACTTGCCAAATTTTACATGTAGTTAATCTAAGTCACCCACTTGTGCAAATTTGGTGTTTTTACCAACTTCAGTTCTGCCATTTTTATCACAGAAATACACAAAGAACAGACTCATCCTGACTACTGAGACACCTGTATCCTGCAGAATATGTGTGTCGCAACAGTCAGCATTGTCATATTTATTGGACACATGACACTGAAAGGCTAAACGAGACACAAGGAGAGAGACAGAGAGACTCCTAAATAAAATCTGAAAATATTACAAGCAGTGATCTTGGAAATTAAAGAGCTTTCTGACATTTTAGCAGTACTTAATCCAATGCACTTGATTACATTCTGTCACAATGCAGTCCTGCAAGCCTATGTCATGCTGCATTTGCTAAATATGTGTGGATGACGACTTTGGAAAATTTAGTCAGCTGAACTCATGTTATAATTATTAAAATGACTTCAATACCCACCAGGATGTCTGTGACTCAGTCCAAAAACTCTCTGGTGTGATTTAAATGCTTCTGTATATTTTGTTAGCTGCCCAACAAAGCTGACTTTCATTAATCACTCATTTTTCACTCCAAGTGAGGCTAAACACTTTGGACAGGCGGAATGAAAGTGATCTTGATTGATTCCCCAAATGTGTCACTTCTCCCCGGAGACCATTTCTGTGTCTTCAACTACAGGTCGACACGTCATCGACTTTGCCTGGCGAAGCAATAACTGGGTCGTCTTTCAGTTCAGTTAGTATAAAGCTGCTGATCATCCAAAAAAAACGGCTCAGTTTATTAACCTTTTCATTTTTGGAGTTAAAAAAAAAAAAAGCTTCAGTACTGTCTGATCTCTAATGCTGCATCGACTAAATCAGCTCGGCTTGTACTTTTGAGGTTAGTGAGCATTTTTCATTTTTGCGCCCCGCACGCAGTGAAAGTCATGGATATATTTTCAGATGAAATTACCTTTATCATTTATCACTTGAAAAAAAGGTTATTAATCTTCTCATTCTTTGTTCTCCAGGAACACAAACATAGAAAATCACACCAGGACTTGGCAACTAAAACTAGCTTTGTGGGTTAATGCCATTCAGCTTCTCTGTATGTACATTAGAAGTAGGTAATCTTTTCCAAACATTTATTTTTTAAATTTAAAAAAAAAAGCTCTTGTTTAAACAGTCATTTAAGATTTCAAAGTCCAGAATATGCAAAAACAGTGTTTGGCATGTTGATTGCAATCAGTGTGGAGCAAAGTTTTGGAAGTAAAACCAAGATAAAACGTCAGAACAGGGCAATAACAGAGCGTGTGTGTGTGTGTGTGTGTGTGTGTATATTTGTTGTCCAGGTATTACTCATGTTTTAAGGGCCTAAATCTGTCATATAATGGGGACGTTTATTCCTTTTGGGGAAGAAGTCCTTATACAATAAATCATTACATTTCAACACAGTGACATGTTTAGATAAGTTTAGATTCAGGTTATGCTTAGTAGCAGATATTGTTTAAGGTTAAAGAAAGTCAGTAAAAGTGAAGCAAGTTAATGTAAAGTCCACTGGAGTCATGATGCACGACTGTGTGTATGTGCATGAATGGCAGTTTCAGGTGTTTCATCTACTGGTGCTAATAACAGAGCAGTGTGTTTGTCCTTTGGATCTGAAGAAGTGATTAAGAACAGAGCAATAACCACAACAGCTGTTGGAAGCGGAGGCAGGTCAAGGGATGAGATCATGTTGTGAGTCTCCCCCAGCATGACCCATGACCTGAAGCAAGGGTGGCCTGTTCTTATAGCTAGCTCTAATGAAGCACAGATGACAATAGAAGCTCAAATAATCGAACTCCACTGGCAACGCCACTAAAGAAGGTGTTCTAATTCAAATTCTAAATATCCCACAAAAGCTGCCTCATAAGGAGCTGTGGGTGAGTGAATAATGTCGGTCTTCTCCACTTTAAGCTATGGTGTGGGCTGTCTTTGTCATCCACCTGAAAGCTCTTTATGTGGGCGTTTCTCATCAGCTATAATTGTGCTGCTTTCCATTTCACTCTGAAGTCGAATGTTGGAGCTGGGAGTGACGCTGCAGTAGTAAAGTTGGAAAACTGAGGAAAAACAGCATTTGTTTTGCTCCTCAGCAAGGTGGAGCCATTCGTGCATTACTAGCAACACAGCACAGTGGTTGGGTTTTTTGCACTTTAAAAACACACAGCTGCAGCACATTTGCGTATGGCTCATTTAGTGAGTCACAAATACACAATAGTAATATTTCAGATTGTAAGTTTTACAATTTTACTGAAGATTACCTGCACTGTTGCCATCTTGGATTGTTAAATCAGAATTGATGGGGCTTCTCTGACTTTCTGAGTTGGAAGTCTGATTTGTTCCAATTGAATATTCAGACTTCAGATGGAACGCACCATTAACCAGGGTGATGCAACCCTGCTGACCTTTTCAAATTACTCTTGTTCCTAGGGTCTGCACTACCAATTACCCACATCAGGCTTTCTGTGGAAGAAAGGAAAGGAAAAGAACCTAAACAGAGATCGCACTAAAGGAGACGAATTGGAAATGCCTGCGCATCATCTGAAATGCAAGTGTGAAGAAAGACAATTTAGAGACTGTAGATTCCAATGTGAGAATGATTATTTTCTCCTTTTTAAGCAGAGTCAACAAACGCTCTACTAGAAAAGGAAGCTGAAGATTATCTTCTCGCAGACAATACAAAAGGGTTCATATTCAGGCTCGTATTGTTCACCCTCGGGGGACTGCTGGATTGTAACCTGAGCGCATGTTAGACCGGGGGTTTGGAGTCCAGCACAAACAGCTGACTCTGCCACCTGGGAGCCAAATGTCTTGGCTTGCTTATTTTTGTAGTGCTCCACCCTGATCCTAAACAACACGGATTTATACCCTATTTGCAGACCTCAAACAACACACAAATGCAGCTGAGTCGCACACAGGCCAACGCAGAGAGGGAGAGAGAGAGGATTATCAAGCCCACTGGCAGGAAAGCTTGTTTTCTGACAGAGAAGGAGCTAAAACGGCAGCCTAAGTAATAAAAGAAAAAGCATGAATCCCACAGAAATGTGGTTTTATTTTGTTGCATATGTCATAAGCAGCAGTGACAGCAGTAGCAGCAACTTAAGGAAAAGCCTCTACACCTGAGTTATTACTACAATCATAATTTCAGAACAGACTATGGTAAGCCGTCTGCTTAATAGCTTATTCAAAGCATCTTTAAGCGCAGTAATCCACAGTTAACCATGACACGCAGCACTAAACAACCTCGAGCTTCTTCAGAGACCATGTCAGGATTCATAAGTTACAGCCCAACTGCAACTGTACTGTAATGATCTCTCCTGTAATGCCCAGCAAGTCATTTATCAAATTCTGTAAAGTTGCTGTGTCTGATGCTGGATAATACCAGTGCTGAAATGACTTGTCAGTGAATCAGTTAGCCTGCGAGCTAAAAATAAAAAGCAAGTAATCGAAATTATTCACCGATCAGAAATGGCCCAGATGTGAAAATCTGACTAACTTCGAGGAATCTATTTGTGCATGTGAATGAAGTGTAATTTGGATTCTTTTCAAGTTTAACAGAGAAGTGTGTGGATGAATGCCCTGACAGATTTTTTAAAGCATATAATTCCCCTTAGAGTTTCTGCATTCTCCACACTAACCTGTCACAAGCTCCCTCACTTCCGCATCCACAGTCTTTCTAAGGAGACGGAGCAGTGCTGGGATACCCCCGGCGTTCCTAACAGCGATCTTGTTGTCATCCATAGTTTTGCCATACACGAGGTTCCTCAGAGCGCCACAGGAGTTCCTCTGGACTTCAAGGACTTTGTGGTCTAGCAGGTCCACCAGGTGTTTGATTCCTCCCAGTCGACACACCTGGAGTCAGGATTTTCAGATGTGAAATGATTCTGACCACTAACAACATTTTTTAAAACTTTCCCTGTAAAACACGGGGACAAAAATCATGCATTTATTCATGTGACAAGAGAATCTACGCACAGGGAATTTATTCATACCAAACAAATTATTTTGAAAAGAAATGCTAATATATGACCATGGAAAAAGCCTTAACCACAGGAGATGGTAGACTAAAAGAAAACTGGATTTACATTTCCTTCTGGAGAACAGAACAATGTGTACTCTGAAAAGAAAAAAAAGAAAAAGCTCCCTGCTTTTCGCTTTGTAATATGAATCAAGTTCTTCTGTCATACGGCATCCAAGAAAAACAGTATCTAAAAAATACAGTCTTCATAACTTATCTTAGTCTTTATATGTCAAAATCACCATTATGCTAATGTCTGAAAGGACAAATCCAGAGCAGATGCCTCTTTGGATTTATTTATTTTTCTAACTGTTGCTGTAAGCTGTGGATGTTTTTTCTTTAAATATACTTGCTTCTGATGTGCATGAGCAGTGTGATTGTGACTATGTGCACATTCTTGTGACTCTTTGGTAGCTCTAAACTTTTTCAGCTCGACGAGTTGAACTGACCAAATAATACATCTCCTAGTTACAAATAATTTCTTTTGTCTGTGTCAAAGTGACCACCTGACTGTCTGACCGCCTCACACTTCCAGACCTAAATTCCATTTTCACAGCTCCAGTCATCAGTTCTGCTTGTTAAGCTGACACTAGCTCAGAAAAGTAATTGTGAACCTCTTGGAACACGCATTAAAAAAAATACCTCTCTATAATCCACAAGCTCGTATGCGATAACCCACGCTGATAGGTTTTACCTTCTAGTAAAGTAGTAAAGTGTGACATATAAGATAGATCACAGCTGAAGGAGATGATTGTACAAAAACTACAGCAGTTGTATTTCGCAGTTTTTCAGACATAGAGACAACATTCAATATTCATGGAATAACTAGGTGTAGTCATTGCACCAGTAATAAAATGGCTGATTTGTGTATATCCTTTCGTCTGTGTGAGTTCTCTTCAGGTATTGCAGGTTCCTCCCACAGTCCAAAGACATGCAGTTAGTGGGGTTTCATTAACTGGTGATTCCAAATTGATCTTAAGTGTTATTATAAGCACGGATAGCTGCGTGTTTGCAAGTGTTAGCTCAGCAACAGATTGGCAACCTGTCCAGGGTGTTCCCTGCCGCTCCCCCTAGGACAACTGGGATAGTTTCCAACCAATCTCAGTTGTCATAGAGCAGATGGATGGATGGATGATTTATACAGGCTAACTCAGAGCTCAAAGTTACTGCTATAGTCATACCACAAAATTGTAGTTAAAAAGCCAGTTTTCACTTTGACTGTCGCTGGCTTTGCTCTTCTCATCTGCCAGATATTAAGAGTTTTTGGTAAAGTATATGCACATCTCCAAAATCTGGGCAGGCCCAATAAACTAACAAAAAAATGTGAATAACATAAGAAGTTGAAATAACTCACTGTAATAAGAGTGTAAGGGATTAGTGGTAGAACACCTACCTCATTCTTGACTCGATTATCACCAAAGCACAGGTGTTGCAGGTAGGCAGCTGCATTGGCCTGCACTGATGGGAAGTGGTGCTGCAGCATGTGAATCACCTCTGTTAGCTCTGGGTCACGCCACGCGAACTCTCTAAAAGTACACGTGGGGTGAAAAGGTATCAGCATGACGGCAGCGACTGGAAGAAGGTTGCCTCCTTAAAAACCACAGGCACCTTTTTCCTGAAAATGAATTCTTCAGCACCTGAGGACAGGCTGATAGAGCCAAGAAGTTACATTTGCAGGTCCAGTTAGGTCACACTTAGATTATTGGGTTTGTGCATGTAGCACATTAAAGAAAGAATAAAGGAATGCATTGTATCTAAACTTCTTTTTTAAGATACTAACAATGGATTTTTCAAACTTAAAATTAGACAAAATGATTTGTGATTGTAGACCTCTGCCAACCAGTCAATTTGTAGTTTATATCCATATTGGATCCAAGTTGCCTGAATTAGTGTTGCACAATAACAAAATACCAATAAGTACTTTAATCGACCGGCACTTCTGGTTCTGACTACTGAGGACAACAACATTTAACTGCACTCATGCTAATTATTATCCCTAATTCAGACTCTTCATTTAGAAATATACACCAACACTGATAGAGCCACTACTTCCCATATGAGGAAGATTGTGCATGAGTACATTATAATCTTGCGCATGCTCATCCGTTAATGTGAATGCACACAGGTCAAATTTTTGCCTCGCTGAAAGTGATACATGAATGTTAATAGATTCAACCTAGTGAAATTGCCTGTTAAGACATCTAGGGAAAAGTGGTTAATGGAAAGGAGGCAAAGAGTGAAAGGGGCTTAAGTTGTAAGAGAAATACCTTTGACACACTGACTGAATTATGCACACCACAATCCCAGACTGCTAGAACTAAATTTGTGGCCTTTGAGCTAAACTAACAAGTCTTTCCTAGACAGGAGCAATGTTAAAATTAATTTTCTAGAGGAATTTTGACTCTGACGCCATTCCAGAATGGGCCGGTGTCACATAAAATAAGCATGGTGCACTCACTTTAAATACTTAGACAACAGCATAAACAAGTGTAAACAAATTTCCCAATGAGCAGGGTCACTGCAAATGTCAATCCACTCTCTACGCTTACACGACAAGAGCAGACACAGCACTTCAGCACATGTGAGAATCTTTTGTTAAGTGGCCAGGCATAGTTGAGCCAGCTTAACGGCCAGAGCTGTGTGTGCGTGTCTACCCAGGAGGTTCACTGTTTGAATAGTAAGAGGACACCGGTGTTGACCCAGCAGAACAGGACTGCCTTGTAAGCAAAAGTAGTCCCCCTGGATTACTGGTTTATGTTACACTACACTGGTTACTAACCACAGAATAAGTTTAGGGAAACAGAAGCATAGAAATAGAGTGAAATGTGTGCCGAGCTTACCTCGGATCCTTCTGAATGCTGTCTATGGAAGGAGAGCGGGCGGCACCATCATCCACGACAACAGCCTGGCGGGTGTAATTGGGATCGGAAGGCCGGTACTGTGCTGAGCGATAGGGATCAGCATAGGTGGCTGATGTGTTAAGAGTATAATTGTTTCTTTGGTAGGTCATGGCACTTCGCTGGCTAGACGACCTTTGCAGACTGCCCACACCTAAGGGATAAATCCAAATCATTCAGATTAAACACAAGACCAAAAACACAAAAACATCTTAGCAGCGTCTAGACGTCGTCAGCTAAACTTCCAGCTTTCCCCGCCATAGGCATACATCTTTAAACAAAGCTGGAAATACAGACATGCTGCTGTTCTGACAAGCTCAGCAAATTCTGAAATCTGGAACAGATTAATGATGAGGATAAAACACAGCTCCCATGGTAGCACAAAGCAGAACTCTTTTCCTTCAAAGACCTCTTTACTTCTTGTTGCTTTTACAAGCTTGTGTTAGCCAGAAGGATCCTGCTGGTTTTCAAAGAGGACAGGAGGACTCAACTTGCTTGGTGATCCACAAATCCTTTCTTCACCGCCTTCTTGCTCCTCTGAGACATCCTATGCTCAGGCTAAGTTTGCCAAACAAAGCAGACAGAATTTGGTAAACCAAGGCGCGCTCCAAAAGAAGGAGAAAAGAAGTCAGCCTGAGAGCACCTCCCTTCAGTCATCTTTCCTCTTTTCATTTGCACCGAATGGTATTATGACCTAGTTTTTTAACACAATGGGTCACAAACAGAACGGCATAAACAAGCTGCTTGGATTCAGCCCTCCTTCTCACCGGAGCCACGTGATATGAGGCAGCGTGACTGCTGCGCCGGTCAGATCTCTATCCTCCATCCAACAGAACTTGGCACGAGCGTGCTCAAACTCCCTCCTGCCAGCAGCCAAGACGTCAACTGGTGGGGTTACTCCAAAAACACAATTTCGCGCATCACTGCACTTCTATGTTGGGCAGCAGCTCTACTGCGCAACATGGTTATCTCCCAAAATGTAACCTTACACAGCCAAAGACATTGGAAGAGAAATTATAAACAACATATTGCAGCTTTGCAATTTTACAAGAACGATTTGGATTCCATTTCTCACCTTCTCAGAAAAAGATCGATACTTCCATAGCTCCTGCTTGCACAAAAAAGTACACTGCCTGCTTCCAGAAAAAGCCCCCAAAAATGCATGGAAAGCCAATAGGGGGAAATGGCCCATTGAAATTTCATTTCACAACATAACAAAGAAAACTGTGGGATCAAATTGGATTTTTCTAATGAGATAGCTCTCACAAAGCCCCCATATTGAACACCCCCTCCAGCTCTATCCCACTTGCCTTTTCTTAGTATAGCTGGAATAAACACATTACAGTGGCTTGTCTGTGGGGCTTCTTCATACCACCAATAGCATTTATTAGTGAACTTATCGGTCTAAGCAGATCTCCGGTGTGCCAAGGAGAAGCCTGAATGGAGTGCGCGTGCACGTCATGGGAATTAAACATGCGTATCCGAGGCAGGAGAGATGATGAGAGGAAAATACCAACATCAGGACAGCTGGAAGAGCACAGGCTGTGGATGTGGCTAACCAAGCTGTCCCCTTCATCCTTCTTCTCATTCTCAATGTGACACATGGGTAATGGACTCCTTTGTGGCAGGATGACATATCAGAACCTGCCCATTAACTCATGTCTCACCCATTTCTGTCTGACAGTGGAGGGAGGATGGAAATGGAGGCAGCGGAAGAGAGAACGAAAAGTAGAAAGAAAGACATAACATACTGTGCGCTAAAGGGCAGACAGAAAAATGTCCGACCCCCACATGGACAGCGATAGTCCTCCATGGGGGATATGGGAAAGAGTCAAAGACACCTGGATTAAATGGCAAAGACTTTGACACACTTAAAGTCAAAGAAACTACATAACAGGAAGAAGGCACTTCTGATGTGAGGATGTATAGAGTAAAAATTCTGTGCTCATCCTGACCTGGCTCTACCGCACGAAGATGCAGCACAAGCAAAGAAGATGGTAAATGGAGTTTCTAGTAGATTTGATCTGCCGCACACAAACACACTCAAATCAAAAACTGTGTTGTTTGTAAGGTACTGCAGGGGTTCCCAGCTTCTATCTGTCCAACACTGTCACTGAGTGGCAGGGGACGCGTAGCATCAAGAAAAACATTACCTCGGTATACGATGTCCTCTGCCTCCTCTCTCAGCTTTCTCTTTTTAACCCATATCTGCTGGCTAGATTCATCTGCAACCAGCTGCATACATACAATTGTGCCACCTCAACTTACTGACAGGAAAAGCATTTTCTGACTTTTAAAAAATGTTCCCCATGGCTCCACAGCAAGTATTTCATAGCAGTTGTTAGCGTAGGTGATGCTTTGCACTTTTGTTGACACTAAACTCAGGTTCTTCCAACAATCTGGCAGCAAAATTCTTACTTGTGAGAGGGAAACGCATAATTTTAGTATCATAGGGAGACTGTTACTAACTATTATTAGTAACAATGTCCAAAGTTAATAATAATGTGGGGCCAACCTGATGTGCTCCTGTAGAGCGTGCTCTGGTGGGTGTGGCTGGGACTGCGATACAACGGGCCCTTGTACGTCCGATCCTCATAGATTGGTGCGATGTGGCGGTCTGGGGAGATGGTTGACCTTAAGTCTGGGGCCAGCTGGCTGTGCTGACTGGCGTAAGAGCTCCGTATTCCTGCAAATGAATATAAATGGGAAGAATTTAGTGTCTGTGTCTTTTCAAAATATTATAGACCAAGACAGCGACTTTCAGGCCATGTTTTCATGATTCTTACAGGATAACTGTATCAGCGTGTTAAAAACATCAGTGGAAAACATGGTGGCTGCAAAAAGAAACAGCAAGAGTGCTTGGATCCCCCCAAACTACGGTATTTAGGTGACTTAAGTCACCTGATACTTGGTAGACTTAGATAATCAATCTCAGAAAACAACATGTCTTCTTTTGTTGTCAAACTTAATGTCATTGTTGTGTGCGGTTCACTGATTTACAAAAGGGACACTGCATCGCTTTACAGCAATAATGCAGTTTTGACAAAAACAAAAGCAGACATGACGTTCACAGGATCCTATCTTATGTATCAGGTTAAATCAATTTTCAAACTTGATCAAAATGAATAGAAAGCACTGCACATGCTGAAGAAATAATTCAATTCACAGAAATATGACTGTCAGTAAAGTATGAAAAATGAAACAGAAACAAAACAAAACGAATTGGGGAAAACCCCACATCTGCTTCTTTTTGTGAACAGGAACTAGGCACAAGCAAATGCTAAATATTGGTTGAAATGACTAAAATGAGTCACTGAAGTGAACTGAGCAGATACCGAAGTGACACTGCAAACCAATCAGTCCATTAACAACAGAGTGTTTCACATAACAAACAAACAAATGCTATAATCAGCAAAAAGCTCTCCTGACGGGGTGAGAAAAGGAAACCATTGTCTAATTAAAAATCCCTTTCACAAAGGTCACTTTAACGGGATATGCAGGCATAGTCGAGCATCAATTTCTGTCTGACTCAGACTCGGGTCAGATGTAAAACAACAAGAGCAGAATGAGGAAACATCACACTGCTCTGGGTCTTTCCATATAAAGGGAAGCACGGCTATTATGTCTCACTCTACCAACCTCGGAATGCCTAAACTTCCAACAAAAACAAACGTGAGCGAGGTCGTGCAGTCATGGCCAACAATCTGACAAACTGACATTGTGTCACATGGTAGGCAGGTGAGATCACCATTTACATTAGTGCTGAAAGCACACTCTCTGTCACTTGTAAGGTTTTACCTATCAGGACATAATCAGTCCTTGACCAGGTCTTAAAAAACAATAGCAAGTTAGACAAGTTAGCCAGTGCCATGATTAATATAAATGATGCCAAAATGCAGAAGCAATGTGTGAAAAACTAAAAGCATCCCATTAGTCAGCAGCTATGGATGAATTTTGGCCCACTCTTCTTTCCAGCTCTCTTACGGTCCAGCCACAGTGTCTCACTCAGGCTGAGGTATCTGTTGGACAAATGGCCTCACATTTGTTTCTAGAACACGTTGAAACTTTGAGGAGTTCATGGTCAACTCAAAGACTGCAAAGCACACAGATCCTGCTGCTGCAAAACAAACCCAAACCATCAGCATCCACCCCCGTGCTTCACTGTTGGTGCAAGATGTTTGTGGTAATGTTTTGTTTGGGGTTTTTTGCTAAATGTGGTGCCATGCATTATGGCCAACCATCTTGTCTTGTGGTTTGTTTAGCTGAAACTTTGAAAAGCTAAGCTGTGCTGCCGTGTTCTTTTTAAAGAGAAAAGCAACCCATACTTGTTTTGTTTTATGCAGAGGTTTTTTCTTTTTTAAATTGTACTTCACTAATTGTGCACGGTTTCAGGTAGTTAAAAGTCTGAGATGTACTTCTTGGGTTATTTTGCAGTTTCTCCAAGCATTACAAAATGTGACCTTGGGTTGAATTTTCTGGGACGCCCACTCCTGGAAAGATTGGCAGCCGTCTTAAATGTTTTCCACTCGTGATTAACCTTTTTCAATGTAGACTTCAAATTGTTTGGAAGTGACCTTAAAACCCTGCTGAGAGTTATGGGCAGCATCAATTGCCCCTTTAAGATCACTGCTAATGTATTCCCTACTTGGCTATGTGTTAACACACACCTGAGAGCTCCAGCCAACAAAGTGACAAAACCTGAAATTTTACAGAGGTACTCACACTTCTGATGCTCAATCGAGAACATATGATTAGCAGCACTGCTACTGCCTCTACTGGCTACTATGTACCTACCTATGGAAGTAATAAGAGACATAAGAACACTTGATTTGTTAAATCGATGTGTAATATGCCATGTTTTGTAGTTCATTGGAGATTATATTAAGCTGGTTTTAGGACTTTCATTTTTATTATGTCCCAGTGTGTAAAAAGAACACGACACATGTTGTCATCTTTCTTTTTGCCATGACTGGATGAGAGTATATAAAAGAAAAATCATTTTAAAAAAAAAGGCCTTTGTAATACCTTAATATGTAACCACAAACAAGTTAAAACTTGACATGTTGACATTTTCTCAAGGAACATAAGAATATGATTAAAGCGTTCTTAGTTATGTTTTAAAGAGACGATGAGACGTCAACAAAAGTTGCTGTGGTTATAATGTTATGACAAAACTTTGGAAGAGTAACTTTTGGCTCCAATATAATGTGCATGGCAGCATATACACCTGCACCATCTGTTCTCACTCTATACCAACTCAAACTTGAAAAAGCAAATTCATTTCCCTGCTCCCCAAAACACAGAATGGTTAACTGAAACAATCGATAGGAGAGGGTAGTTCATTTGAGTAGAATTTGTACTGAAGAAGGAAAAGAAAATGGATGAAAAATCTGATTAAAAAGGGGGCCCTGTTAATTTAAGCAGGAGGGGGTAATGGGCTGCAAAATTTCTATCAAAATAACCAAGGGCTAATGTCTGAAAATGGACCACAATTATAGCATGTCTCACCCAATCATCCCCTAATCAAGTTAAACTCAGAGCTGAGCTATTCTGCTGTGACATAACAAGAAGCAGAATAATAGTCGTGCTTTTACCGTCGCATTTTGAAGATCGCAAAAAAAGGTTACGAGTCCAAACTTTATTTTAATTTTACAGACCAATTAAAAATAAACTGGTACGATGAACTGTAGAGGACAGCGTGGACATAAAGGCGTTTGCTCCTCTTTAATCTCCATTCTCATCAAACAAACCTAAACAAACACCATTTAAGTAATGTTTGTTTTAAACCTCACATCACTGAAGCTCACTAAGCTGTGAACCCCAGTGGGCCAGTATACAGTTGGCAACTTACTGCTTATTGCACATTTCACAAGCCCCCAAACGTCACTTGGGTCCTCTCCAACTGCATGAGCTCAGGCACAGACTGCTGCTAAACACGAGCTCTGCCATGCAGAACCAGCTAAATGAGGGAGTATTGTCACAATTTGAGACTGAGGACATTAATAAATAAACATATTTGCCTCATTTGTGAGCAGAGAGACTCTGGAGGCAAGACGAGTACAAATTTCAGATGTAGATGGTAGACTAGACTGAGGCTGACCTCTGAAACACAGAGCCTTTACATGCACTGAGGCAAGCATAGGATGAGGCATTGGGAAGCTGGTTAGGGGACCCTGGTAACCTCAATCTGAATAAACATGCAGAGAATCAACTAACTAGCTTAATGGTGTAATTTTATTGAAATAATGGTTGCAGTCCAAGTTACTAGCTGATATTAGCAGAAGTTGTAAAAAAAAACAAAAAAAAAACAGATTTAAAAAAAGGATTTTCCTTACTGGTATTTTCAGTCATACATGTGCAGTTAGAGTGGTCTATGCTTAAAATGTCCAAAGTTTTACATAACAAGATATATGAAAATAATCCTTGTGAACCAAAAGCTTAGGCTTCAGCCTGCTCTAAAGGCTCAGCTTAAGAGAATTTCTCCAACTCTTGAATATCTTTGAGATCACAGACATGGGATGTAATTAATACGGTTATCTCAGCCACACAGTTTTATACCCGTGAGCACAGCAGGTGGTTTGCCTTCTGTTTATAAGGGCCAACCAATAAGAAGAAAGTTGGCTTGAAGGAAAGGACAAAAAAAAAAAAAAACTTGTTTCAGACAATGGATTAACTGGGGTTGGAGGGTGGGCGGCACTAAAGCCCAGTATTAGATAGATACAGATCTGTATTTAAATTAGGGCTGTTCGATATAACGATATATATCGGATGACGATATAAAAACGTCTATCATTTCATTTTTCGCTATCGTTTCTTTCGTGGTGTCACAAAATAAACTGTTTACGGCAATATTTTTTCATCGTTTTGATGGTCACTGTAGTGGTTATATTAATTTCTTAAAGTTCTCTCTTTCTCTTATATTTAATATAACCACACTATGGACGGACAAGCGCCTGTTCCTATGCTTTGTGGTTAGCAACAAAGACGTTAACAGCGTGTCCGCTTGTTTATGTTCCACATAAACCTTTCACAATAAAGCTCAAGATCCTGTTTAGACTTTTCAAAATAAACTGAATCACGTGAAAGAGCAGATTATTTACAGATGAGAATTAAAAAAGAGCCGCCAGGTGCTAAAAAAATAGACCTTAGCATCAAACGTTAGAACAGGCTTTTCCCCGCAGCACGCTGTGTAATAAATACTCACAAAGAAAACAGCGGCCTTTACAACTTATGTCTAAAAATGTATAGTTTCATACATCGGTTAAAACACTCGACTCCAGCTACATGACGCGCAGCTGGAAACACTTCCCGCAAGTCGAGCTGCCCGAGATTCACAGAATTTACAGAAAAGGTTACATTTTTGTGATTTATATCGTTATCAGACGATATAATTCTTATATCGGGATATGAGATTTTGGTCATATCGCACAGCCCTACCGTGTATCATACAGAACCCAGAAACTAAAATACAGAGCTGGAATTGAGCAGAATATCTCCGCTTTAAGGTCAACTTCTCACCAGGCTCAGTGGGCAGGTCTTTTCCCCTAATGAATCAAATAAACACACAAATACATTTTAAATTCTATCAAAGTCTAAATTGCAAGTAAATGAGCATTTCTTGCCAAAATATCAGTCTGACCCTGACCTGAAAGCTGGAGAAAAAAATGGTGTCCTAGCTTCTAAGTGCTCTCTGACAGCAAGAGCATTTTATGGAAGAGATCACAACAAGTGCAATCCATTTTGGGTAAAACAGTGTTGACAAAGCACCCAGTTTTTTGTCAAGGTTATGACAGATTTTAAAACATTTACTCTAAATTAAATTTAGAGACTGGCTTTCTTAGCCATTGCGCAGTAATAAATTAAATGATGGCGAGTGCTGCAAACATCCTTGAAATATGGAAAGGTTTAAACAAGGCTGTGGACTTCATTTATATATTGAAGATTTGATTGTTTTTGACTGATTTTCCCTCACTAATGAAAGTATTTTTTTGTAAACTTCAAAGTGTTGTCAAGTAAAGAGGGTTGAAATAAGGAAAAACTAAAATATATCATAACCTACAAAAGCTTGTCTGTTTTGTTTATGTGTGTTTCCTATAAAAAAAAAATTTAACCCCTTAAAACCTAAAGAAACACCCAAGCTCTGACTCTCCACTCCATAGCCATATAAACAAAGACATAAACTAAGGTTGGAAGGAAGTAGTAAAACAGAGTAAAGAAGAAAAATTCTGCCACTGTGTGCACTCAATAGTGCAGGCAGCCTTTCACGCCATAGCTGTGCGCACAATAACCACTAGCAGCAGCTTGGCAGGAAATCAGTTCAGCTTCTCTTGTTCAAAGGTTTGAAGAGGGTGAGGAGAGGGTGAGGAGATGGAGAGAGAAGAGGTGGTGGGAAGACATAAGGAAAGGCGGGAAAAGAAAGTAGCCGAGAGTATAGGAGGGGATGGGAAAGAGAGGATGAATGAAAAGAGGGTTAATGAGGCTGTCTAGGACCACCAGAGACCTCTCATTCCATGTAAAGCCTAGCCACATAAACAGAGCTTTTGGCACAGCTGTGACCGAGTGAGTGGGAGAGAATCTCCCAGGCACAGGAACCTTCATGCATATCTCTGCCTCTCAGCAGCCTGACTCCTGAAAGTAGCAACATTCAAACAACCTTAGCAGAGACTAATCTGTCCCCCGATAGAAGGGCTGCAGTCACTTCTAAAGGCATCTGCAAATTGTCAGGGAGAAATAACATACTGCTGTCTATTGAGGATGAATGGCCCACATTCCTGCTGCGTTATAGTCATTTAATTCTCCCCCTCAGTCCTCTCACCGTGGCTTTAACAGATTACACTTGGCAGAGGCTGGATAAAGGGTGGTGGCTGCTTGGCACGTGCTTTCCCTGGAGAAACAAACACTTAAATGGATGCAGCTGAATGTATCCTTCAAGAAAAATACATTTCAAGAACCCTCTCTAAACAAACTGAACTCCTCAAAGAAAACGGGGATGATTATCAGAAAATCATTATGCATGAAAGTTCCTAAAGGGGTAAAAATTCGATTGCACCACAGCTAAAACTACCCCGGTAGCCTGGATGGCGAAATGAAAATGCAGACATTGAGATGTGCTATTTCCCCCCCCCTTTCTCTTCCTTCCTCTCTGAAAGGGACATGGAGCGTAATGAGCACATTATTAGGGACAATTTATCTTCATTTTCCATTTTTCAGCAGCAGAGGGAAGCTCTGACATCATGCCAGTGACAGGGCAGGGAGGGGAGCCAGGTGGATGAGTAGTCGGAAGAGTGGAGGGAGGCGAAAGGGCACAAATGAAGCACAAAAAGGTGGACAGAAGTGTGACGAAAAGGCAGCAGAGAGAACCAAAAAGTGTGTGATGAACCAAGAAAAAGGTGAGGAGGAGGAGGGGGAGGAAAAACACTTTCTGATAGATATTGACAGAAAACCACCAAGAGCTACAACATCAAGTTCAGGCTGCTGGATGGTGTTTGCCAAATCCTTGCAATTGAGTCTGATTGTGTGATCGTCCCATTTCCTTCTACTATGGCTCATCAGACACTTGTGAAAAATTACTGCAAAGTGCAGATGATGTGTTTGTGACAAAAAGGAAGACTGTAAGGGGGAGGACAAAGAAGGTGACAAAGAAATGAAGGAAAGCAGAAGGAACAGAAAGCTCGGTTTGTTGGCCAGATTTATACTCCCTTGACGAGACACACACACACACGCAGACAGCTGTGGACACCGAGGAGTGAAGTTGTTCTACTATTACTGTTACACTACTCAGGAGGCTGACAACCCTTTGGCTCTGCTGGAGACATCATCAGTCAAAGTAGCAACATCTGTGTTTGTGTGTGCAGTGAGTCTGGGTAATAAAAAACAATCTCACTTTAAGAACATTTCCATAGTAACAATGATAAGCTCTGAACTACTACTAAGTCAGGCTAGTGTAATAAATAAATACAAATGCATGTGGAAAGGCCTGTGATGTTTAATAAAAGGCCGGAAAAACAACAAATTCACCCAAAATTAAAACATTTAAAGACAGTTCCATCCCACTGAGGAAAGAAGCAGCATGCAGTCACGAGAAACAGCTAGCAGCAAGGCCAAGACTGACCTTTCATTACACTTCCACAGTCCACACCCAGCTGCCATCATTAACTTCTGCCTTTTTGGTTATTAGCCCATGTGATTCAGCTCGAACAGATGCGAAGGCAATTTCGCTCAATTAAAAATTATTTTGCCAGTTAATTTTTATCATAAATATCTGGTTGATGCGCTACAAGCAAAATGAATAAAAATACGTTTTATTACGCAGCTGAACCTTTTCATCTTAAAGGACTGCGTGTTCCTTCAGAAATTTAAAGCAATACTAATCTTTCAGAGTTTGCAGAATTTACCTGAAGCGTGAGTATTTCCCTTAAAATTTTACAAGGATAGCTAATACATTACATCAAAATTTAAAGTAAAGATATTTAGCAGCATGTTCCCAGTGATCTTGCTACAATGCACGTGTGTTTATTAGACGTTAAAAATGGCAACTGGTCGTACATGAGCGTTAGACATAAATAAAATAAATAAGATCAAGTCGTGCGCACACACACAGCACCTTTATGTAAACAGAACAGATGATGAGCTGAAGTAACACAACCACCAAAACAAAACAAAACAAAATTCACCTTGTACGTCACCATCAACGAGGGCATCTGAGAAAATCCCAAAGCAGCATCAAGTCAAGAGGAAATAAGTGTCAGTTAACCTCAAAGTAACACTACACTGATTTTCTGAGTAACGTGTTATTTTATGACGTGGAGGCAAAACCAAAAGCGGAGCAGTGTTTCATCAGTTTGAAATTCCCACTGAATAATCATGGTTATCTGTAGTTGTCATTATTTGTCTAGACTATGATCTAATGTCCTGGAGATTCTACAGAAAACGGGAGCAGAAAATGAAAGGCTGCAGGCTGATCTCCGTCCATCAATTCTTGTTGCCGTGTGGAAAACACCGGGACAAGATACGTGTGTTTAGCAAGCAAACACTAGTCAGCTCTTGTTTTTGCCTCATTTGCTCAGGATTCTCTTAAGAATGACAAACTAGTTTGCACAGGCACGCTTTCCAATTAATTATCTTCCTGATCTCTGGCATACTTCTCTCACACACACAAAGCCACCCCCTTTCCTGCCTCAGTGATTGCCCACAATATAGCCTAGATAATGCACTCATCAGAACAATGGATTTGAAGGAATGCCATCACGTTTTGTGGAATCATTTTCGGTTATTTCCACTACGGGGGCACCTTGTGTTTATGATTAAATGCTCTGTCAGTTATTTAACCACAAAACAAAAACGTTTTTTCCCCTGTATGAATGCCACACATGCGTAATATCAAGCAGTAGCCTTGATTCTCACATAAAGCAAAACTAAAGGCAGCTGAAAATCATGGTTTCTGTGACGTTCGGTAGTTAACCCTCTCGCCTCAGTCACACTAGTTACAAATCTGAAATTTCGTCAAAGCAACCATTTCAAAAGCAATCGGATCAAAGTTGTTGCATGCAGTCGTAATAACCGTGCCAACCACTGTTTTCTTTTGTGTGACTGTAGCATAAGTGAATTGCGCTTGTGCAAGGTTACACCTCTTTTAGGTGTGGTAACTGAAGCAACTGATTTATTTGAAACCAGAAAAGGCAAGTGAAGCTGCCTGGAAATAGTTTAAACTTAGTTCTTCCTCTGACACAATAGTTTAAAGGCAGACTATCAAATAATAATAATAACATGGTTTCTATCAGAATGTAATCAGTAAAGCAGATGTGTGATCTGCACAAGCTGTTTAATACTAAAGTATTTTTGCTTGAGAGCACTCAATTAGCAAAAAAGCTAATGAATACCGATTCCTAGACTTGGTTTCTTAGTCTATATTTGCCAATATTTGTCTTCGAGCGGGAACTATGTTTTGGTGACACTCCAGGGCAACCACTGACCTCGCATTCACTCTTTGCTTTCAGCTTGAGTAAATGAAACAAAAGAGTCAGAAACATGCCTGAGAAATAATTATACAAGAGTGCATCCCTGTCTGCACAAAGCAAACATAACTGTATCGTTTAACATGCCAAGAAAGGAGGAACAAAACACTTGTAACTTATTTTAGCAGACTTGATATTAGAGCGTCAGTAATTTTATGCTGAGACTTTCAAAAGAAGATATATAAAATACTGATGCACCGTACAGAGCAAGTATGTGTGTGCGTATGTGTGTGCGCAGCGGAGCACCTGCGAGGCTGTCAGGTCGCGTCATTCTCTCGTAAATGTCGTAACTCTGGGGTCCGTAGGGGTCGGTGTTGTGGAGCAGGGAGCGGGGCAGAGTGGAGCTGTAGTGCTGGGGCACGGCAGTCATACTAGCCCTGACTGGAGACGAAGTGTGAGTAGGCTGTTTAGTCAGCGGAGGGTTGACGTTGTCGACCATCGTCAGAGGTGAGCCCATGCGGCCCGAGGGTGACCCTGCTGAGGCCTGGTAGGGTGAGGTGGTGCGGCTAGATCGAGAGTTTGTGGAGCCCATGCGACGCAGTGCAGCGGGGGAGTTTTTCTGAGTGTTGTAGGGTGAGCCACTGCTACCGCCGCCCGTAGTACTGGTTCGCTGGGCAGAGGGCAATGTTGTAGAATAGATGGCGGACAGGGGTTTGGGTTCTGTAACAATGGGGGAGCCGTAGGCACTGCCAACTGAGGTACGCAGGGAACCACGGGAGGGGGACATACTGCTCGCGTAGGCTGGCGAGTGAGAGCGAGAAGGCACTGAGCTGACCCTTCGCATAGCTCGGCCAGGCACTGCTGTTGTGACCTGCAAGCAAGAGAAAAAAAAATAAAAAGGCTCTGTGGTTTAGTTTACATTCAGGAGGAGCTATAAAATTATGTACTGTAATAATAATGACATGCTGCATAAAACAACATTGCATAAAACAATTCATTACAGGGCATGACTTTACTCTGAGACATATTTATTTTCCTCGTGCTCCCCTCCTCTGTTGTGTGACGGCGCCATTTGGTTTCTCAGCATTCTCTATACACGAAGCTGTAAGAAGCTTGATTAGGTTGTGGTGCTCGATCCCTCTGTGCATTAAAGCCATAAATCACTAACAAACTCAACAGCAATTCTGGAGCAATTAAACTTCACGACCCTTTGAACAAGACGCATGATGAGATAAATCTTGACTTAAACAACCGTCAGTACCTGGGCTGAAGCCTGTCCCTCAGCCCTGGCATTCCTCATCAGTGTGCCAGTGCCAGCACCGGGGAAGGAATGCTGCACCCTTAGTTCAGCCTTGCCCAGGTTCTGGCTGCTGAGGTAGCTGCTGCTGGCATCCTGGTAACCACTGTCCGAGTACGAGTTCATCTGAGCTGAGCTACACGAATTCCCTCCAGATCCTGAGAGATAATGAGAGAAAAACGACAGACGAGAATGAAATGCTGGGGGAGAGTATGGAGAGCGGTTAGAGGCACAGGGACACATCATAAAGGGTTTCATAACAGATGTGACCTTTACTTAGGATAGCCTTACTAATGACAAATGGCACAGCAGGGGGGGTGGGTAACAGTTTTGTCAAGCTATTACTCAGTGTGCCATGGTAAATATCCAGCCTTTTATACCTTATGATTATACTGATAACAGTTTATCCTAAAGAATATAATGGTGAAAGACAAAAAATAAAAATAAAGAGTGTAATCATAAGGTATAAAATTAAAGAAAATTGTTTTCAAAACTGGCATCAGTGTAGTGGAACAACGCTGAGGCAAGAGAAAGCGAGCAGAAGAGAGGGCTGCAGAATGTAGAGAGAAGGCAACAACAGACCCTCACTTTCATGAAGGGAGGACTGCTCCGGGGAGTACAGAGACACCTGCTCTGACTCCGTCCTGATGCGGTACCTCGGGGACTGGGAGCTGTCAGTCACCCGAGACTTTGTGTCCCCCAAGGCACAGGCATCTGAGAAGACACGGCAGAGCAGAAAGTCAGGCAGAGAGGTGGAGCTTCAGGTCTGAAATAATCTCACAGTTTTCGGTCTTTGGGACTGAGAGTTTACAATAGTCGTTAAAGCAGTCGATATTTTATGGAACTGAAAGCAAACAATAAGACGGTCATTTCAGCAACATTAGTTTCACACTTGTATACAGTTGGAGTCATTAAATTTTACTACCATACTAATTTGGGAAGTCAAAATTGGGCGGCATGTCACTTCAATTGTGTATACAGCCATGCTCTAAATCGTTTCACAGCTCTAACATTTCCCTGCATCCCCTCTCGCGTCACGCACGGCAACAACGAGCGAGGCAAACAGAAGCCGAAATTAGCTGTCTAATGTCTCTGTGCACAATGTTTCTCCACAGTCACAATCTAGTTAAGCGTGACCAGAGTCAATGGATTCCTCTGCAATCACTAGAACAATTGGCAGTGAATGAAGGGAAGGAAGAAGACAAACATTGGTGGTCTGAGTTTGTCAGATCCTGCCCGGTTCGCTAGCGTGTGAATGAAAACTGAATCCTGTGACTGAGCCGCCTTGTTGTCAAAACTGACCTGTTGAATAAATGTGCTGACATGTAGGCTTTGTGCATTTGACAACCTGGCATCTTGCACTCCCACTTTTGGAGGACTAAAGGTGCTTGGCTATTTACTGAAGGGATTGAGTCAAAGCAGATCAAAGCAGATCTGGGGTCAGACTGTCAGAAAGCACAGTGGGGGTGGCCTGTTGTGAGAGAGGCATCCCCCATGTGGCTTCAGAGAGTCCAGTCTACAACAAACTCTGTGTCAACTGTGTCAGTGCAATTTAATACGTGGCTACTCGCTCACATTTTTGTGTGTGTATTTTTAAGTTTGCAACAAAGATGAAAAGGCATTTATTAGCCAAAGACATCAAACAACTCAACAATCTGAATTCTGACAGTGACTCTTAGTCTGGTACACACACAGCATGTTGTTTAGGACATTTTGTACCAAGCGCTCACTCTGTCTGATAAATAATATGCCAAAAAGGCAAAATAGATGAGAAACTGGAATAGACACAGAGCGCAAGTGCAGAGCGAAACAGAAGCCTTTTTGATCTGTGTAGAAGATTACACACATAGTGAATCTATTTCGGATAGTTATTTTTTCCCCACAACTACTGACTAAAGAGGAGAGCAGCGGCCACTTCTTACATTTAGGCCCCAGCAGTGAATTTCAAAACTTATTTTAGAGCTCAACATTTATCTCTACCGCTTGCCCTTGCTTTGCTAATCCCACTAGTAGATGTCTAAGCACTCTGCCCCCAATTTTTACATTTTCTTGTCTATTAACAATGCATTAGATAAGAATGTAGAATGTCTGTAAAGTGGGCAGCACCAAGCAGAACCCAAACAATCAACTCGTGTGTTTCCTATTTTCCCCAAACAATTTATTTTCCTGGATTTAAAGAGCATCTTTCTGGTTTGCGTCCCCAGCTAATTAATGTGCTGGAAAATGATGCAGAAACTGGATTTTCAGAGGAAAAGAAAGAGTGACACTGGGACGTCACATATGAGAAAAGTAGATTTTGACACCGAGGCTGAAAATCGATATGAGCACATACAGGATTAGAGCCCAGGTATTAAAGTGGAAAAAAATAAGTCGTATTACCAATCTACCAAGGATGCAAAAGGCAAGAAAGGGCCAAACAGTGGGAAAAAAATAAAAATCAATGTTACAAATATTGAAACAGTATTTATTTCAGCACCCCAATAATGATTTAGTTTTAGCTGGTTCCTTAGCTTTTGTTTTATTATTGAGACTACTGAGACTACTGAGGCTGTGTGTCCTTGTGTGTACCACTGGTCAATGCTGAGATAATGGAAAATGCTTGGTGTCCTCTGTGGGTGTCTTTTCTTGTATACTGCGGGGGCGATCGTGGCTCAAGAGTTGGGAGTTCGCCTTGTAATTGGGCAAGACACTTCACCCGTTGCCTACTGGTGGTGGTCAGAGGGCCCGGTGGCGCCAGTGTCCGGCAGCCTCGCCTCTGTCAGCGCCTTGTAATCGGAAGGTTGCCGGTTCGAGCCCCGGCTTGGACAGTCTCGGTCGTTGTGTCCTTGGGCAAGACACTTCACCCGTTGCCTACTGGGGGTGGTCAGAGGGCCCGGTGGCGCCAGTGTCCGGCAGCCTCGCCTCTGTCAGTGCGCCCCAGGGTGGCTGTGGCTACAATGTAGCTTGCC